GGAGCCAGAGGTAGAGGACTTGCCATCTTTTGATGCATCTCTGGCTTGGAGATGACGGAGTGCGGGCAAGTCTATTTCTTTGCTTTCGTCTGCTTGTTATCTTTTCCGAGAGTTTTCGGTGGCGTACTTATATATTCTTGGTGATTATGCAAGCTCTTCTACGGAAAGCTGCTGAATGATTGGGATATGGCGTTGCACGCGGATGATGAAGGTTGCCTGCTTTCGTGTTTGTTTTCCTACATGATGGATTGGAGGGTTCCCATGTCGGTAGCGACTGGATTGATATTATCGATCTCTATTAGGTCATTAACTATGTTTAGCCAGAGACCAACCGGAGTATGTGATCCGCGTTGTGTCTTCTTCTCTAGAGTCTCATTATCATTGCCACATCTACACCGAAGCCCCATCGTCGAATGCCTTCTCCTTCTGACTCTGCTTGTTCTTGACACTCCCGGCAGTCCACTGGCGCATCTTCTTGCCCCAGAAGTAGAGAATAGGCAACCCAAGAGACAAGACGATGATTGCCTCCGCATACAGGGCGAATGTTTGAAGGGGCCCTTTCTCGGCGATCCAGACAGTCGCCTTGGAGGCGATGAAGAACGCGACGACAATGCGGAGTGAAGAGACATTGACGAGAACCGGTCTGCTAGTGTGTCAGCCCTGCACTTCCTTAAGGGTGATTGAAATTGAACATACCCTGCCCATTGAGGGTAGCTCTCGACAATGAAGACATTGAGAATGGTCATGGTTGTCAAAAAGGCAAAGACGATCAAGAAAGAGCCGACCAGCAGAACTGCCCAGTGCATGTTCTGCTCACCGGCAGTTCCGAAGACGAAGCAGCCCGCCACTCCCGAAACAAGCGGCAGGATCAGGTTGGCAAGGTGATGCTCCGGCTCTCTACTCCCGCCCTGCCATCTTGTCACTGCGTTGGAAATCTTGTCAGCTACAGGGCCACCAAAGACGTAGACCAACGCCGAGGCGGCGAAGAAGGGAAGCACGGTGAGACCGGTCCACTGAAACTGCCATCCTTGGGCGAGGAGGGCAAACGGCGTGATCTGCTGAGCGGCCTGGTTGATGACGATCATGGAACTATTGGCCAGAACGCCCCAGATGATGGCCGGGAAGTAAGTGGATCTGAGAGCATCGAACATGGACTTGGCAGCGCGCTTAAACTCGAAGCCGTTTTGGAAGACACCGATGTTGGTCCACACCGTGCGTGGCGTGTAATTAACGTAATCGAGCTCCGGGCGGTTCTGGCCAGGCAAAAGAGGAACGGTATTCTGACCACCTGTGACGAGTTAGCTGCGCTCGAGTAGTACCCTTTGGGGGTAAGGCGAGACATACTGAGCTCTTCCTGGGAACGAGTCCAGCGAGTCTCAGGCAAGAAGGCAATGAGTATTGCCCAAGCCAAGATGCCCATGCCAGAAGTGATGTAGTACAGCCACCTCCAGGTGTAGTTGGCGGATACCCATGGTGCTGCAACACCAAGACCGATGATGATAATCCCCTGACTGGAGACTACAGCCGACATGGCCTTGTTTCTCTGGTGAATGAAGACCATATCCTGAACAATCAGAGGAATCAATGCCTCTACCGCACCGGCGCCCAAACCCATGAGTGCTCTGGCAAGCAAGTGCTGTTGCAGGCTCGTGCTGAAGGCAGCAAACAAGCCACCAGCCCAAGCACTAGTCGCAGCAAACAAGAGAACCGGTCGACGGCCGATCCAGATGGATGTGGGCACCAGGAAGTAGCTCGCAATACCGTTTGCCAGAAGGGGCATCGTGGCTAGGAGGGCGACTTCATCGAGGGAAGCTGGCTTGACGCCAGGTGGCACGACGGACATGGGGTTGATGTTGAGACCGCTGCCGCCACTCTGGGCCTTGAAGTCGATGTTGTTGAGGATGCGCGGGTCGACCCCTGAGTACTCGAGTATGAAGACGGGGAGGAGACCACCGATGACAACCTCTGCTGACAGGGCAAGGGCACCGACTGTGAGGACTAGTCAGTCTCGAGTGGCCCATTGTGTGGTTAATGGGACGTCTTACAGAAGCAAAGGGCGCCGATTGCTGTCCATTTTCTCCATGCAGGGAGGTTCAGTGGATCTATTTAGCGTTCGATATCAGTCATCATTGCTCGTCGGTGTCAAATGGGAATTCACAGAACTCACCCTTGGGATCAGCCGTGGGCATCTACGCGTTGTCAGAAAAGCCCTTGAATCAAGGAGGATATGTGAGACCTACAGGAATCAGCCTCAGCTGCCCGTCCACGTAGAGATTTGTCGTACCGACGACCAGCGTCTCGTTCTTCTCACTGACCCCGTCGTCGAACTCGGACACCGACACGGCGGGCGCACGCTTAGGACCAGCCTGCTCATCCTGGAGCGGCCAGCGGTTGTTCGTCGCCATCTTGTCAGTTGTTATGTTTGCCGTGATGGAGTTAGAGCTGTAGTGCAATCCCACCGCTCCAAGATCCAAGGGTCAAGCTCGTCTTCCCACCGGACATCAGCGCAGCCTTATACTAGACCTGACATGCCCCCCTGTAGGTGATCGGTAGCAAGGGGAGGGGGATGATGAGTTGCAGGTTCGGAACGTCCTCTGGATTCCGAGCTGGGGTTGAATTAGAAGAGTTGGATCTATACCAAACAGGTAAAGGGAATGAAAACAGAGAAGGATGGGAAAAGCCGTGCGTTTAGATCTGTAGTAACCCTAGTTGCGTCTGGTCTTGTGTGCCTGTACTCGAATCGGAGACGTGCCTGGACGGATCCGTCGCATCAGGCGAACCGTCAATCGCACGACACCCGCGACGATGATCAACTACGCCAGTGACACTGGAGAGACAGACTCAGACACGAGTGTACGATGCTGTCTCTGGGCAAAGTGGGTGTGTGTTTCCCTCCACATCCCGCCCGCCGGGGGCGGAAGAGGCCTCTCCCATGTTCGCCCAAATTTCCCTTTCTCCCAAGCACGGGCGTATCATGTTTCCACCTGACAAACGTTCGTCGCCGCGAGACCGGGAGCTAGGATATCAAACCTTGAAAAAAGCCCATGGTCTGTGATGCTTGGTGTCTGCTTTCGGCAGTTGAAGAATTTCTGGATCGCCTGATGGGGCGGTTGGGTGGTGCGGGCCGGGGAGCTAGGGCGAGACTTATTCGTCGTCGAAGCAGAAGAGTCCCACGCTTAACACGATGGGATTCGTCTAGAATATTTGGCATGACACAGCTGCGTCTTGCGCCTTGTAGGGATTGGGGCTCTTTGTGTACGGTGGGATAAGGGGGTGTGACTTGGTCTGGGGTTGGAATGCGGCATGCGACGGTTTGATCGACGTTCTCGCGCGCGCGAGATAAACCCTTGCCTGTCGTTCTTTGGCGTCTTGAGATTCTTCACGCTTTCCATCATGCCTTACACCTACAAAGTTGCCCCTTGCATCAGAAGACGCTGCGGAACGTATGCAGGTAGACTGCATAGGGCTCCTAGCGTCCGCTCCATGGGTCTGATGTGGAGGGAATCTTAATTCAATCACCCCCTTGAGCTACGGCATACAGACGGTCAGTGTCTTTGAAAAGCTCTACCATGATATTGCCCGTGTTGAGGATTCTAGGAAAGCCAACGGCGGCTTAAGTAAACTCTGTCGGTCTCGACTCGCTGCAGTCTTCATCGCATCACAACCGCGCGCGCCAGTTGGCCGGATCAACATCCTCCAAGTCCCATTGCATCCAAGACTTCAGACCGTTTCTTTCTTTCGGAACAAGTTGAGATGAAATGCCAGAGAGTACAGAGGAAGAAAACAAACTTTCCCAGCATGGCAGCAAGTTCATAAGCGACTATACTAAGACGCAGCTAGTGTACTCCAGACAGGTCGCGAAGAAAGGTTCTTGACTCAACGCATGAACGCAGCACCACCACCTTGTTACAGACCCCCGGTCCGAGTGCCTCAAGCCAACACAATTTTAAGACGTTTGGATCTTCGACAACTTCGACTCGTTCTTTTTTTGACCCGGCGCACGGATGGCGATGCAACGATACGCCGGATTTGATACACTACATCTCAACGTCTCAATCATAAAGTCGCTATTCACAAAAGCTGCACAATTGCATTGCACTTACAGAAGCTAAGTCAATATCACCACGGCAATATTCCAACCTGCCAAGAAGGTTGCAATCCTGAGGATTTAAAGGGGCAGAGTTGACGACGACTACAGCCACGATCGGCGGTTGACAAACTCTCATCAGCCCACATCCAACCCCTCGTACTGTTGTATTCACAACACCTTTCGTCTGAATTACATTGACTGGTTTGTCTGGTCTCTGGGCTTGGCCCTCCTCCACCATGACTTCATGCCGGCGTTACACGTTTCGGTTTACCAATGAAGCAGGTATTGGCACACTCTAGCCTCCACGCCCCGAGGTAGTCTCTCTTGTATGCATCCGTTTCTCTGCCAAGCTCATTGAACGGCCGAAGCCCTTTTGTCTGAGGCTCTGGGCTGGGTGCCCCCATCGTGATCGTCGCCGGTCGGCACTCCATGTGTCGAGTCTGATGTTTCCTTCAGATGATACCTATCCGTCGGCTCATCCGTTGTACGTCTTGTACTCCTCGCCGTCCACTTTCCGGTGCGGCGATCCGACTTGCTGGCTTTGGCTGGGCACCGCGTGTCCACTTGTGACGAGCCAAGGGCTGCTTACGAATCTACGTGTACGGAATGGAGTGATCGTCGAGAAGACCACTTGGACAGCAACCTGGAGTTTTGAAGTCATGTTTCGAAGAGAATTCCATCGGCCAATACAACGTGGAAACTTTTCAACTGCAGCTGCAATCGGATCAGCTTTGGCCGAACTCTTATTAAGCGGCGTTCCCTCGTACAATACTCGGCGATTATCATCACCGCTGCAAGTATTTGACGTAGAGTATGATAGGGACTCTCGACATATGCCACGTCGGTGGAGTAATGGCTCTCACAATGGCTTGGCCGAAGCTCGCGATATCCCACGAGCCATGGCGAGGTACTAGAAGCGAAGGTTTGTTCGAATTTTGCTTCAAAAGCCCATCCTTTGGTCAAATCTAGAATACATTGGTCGTTCAAGTTTTACCAACCTATAGTCGGCCGTCCAAGTCCCATCTATTAGTAAGACTGTTGTGCAGTATGTATATCACTCTGGTCCGTCATCAGAAAGCCCAAAACTTAACGCCATGCTTAGCCCCATTGTCCCTTTGCACACGATCTGACTCGTTTCTCGAGACGCAACGGCACCATCCAGCCAGAAACCGTACGCATTTGAAGCCGCTTTAGTTGTCGCTCGCACCCAAGACCCTCGCAAGCAGTACGTAGAAGAATACGACACCGCCGGCGACGAGCAGCTTGTTCTGATTCAGCCAGCCCCGGCCGGCATCTCGTTGTTGCACAACAGCATCGACAACAGCCTGGGCTTGGTGGCCACTTCCGTTCCCGATGCCAAGTTGGGGCCCGCAGGAGGCCCCTGCTGCCGCTCCCGTCCTGTTACCTGTCGCCAGGTCAATCTTGGTCTCCTTTATCCACTCCCAGTTGGCCTTGTCGACTTCGGGCCATTCGGCTCGGAACTTTGCGCCGCCGTCGCCGGCCTTGACGTTGCCCTTTGTTGCCACATTCGATTTTGCGTGGGATCCTCCGCCCGTTGAGTTCCACCACTTTGTTCGTGCTGCCAACATCTTTCTTTCGACTTCTGTGCTGGATACGGAACCAGTCGTCATTTCCTCGCTGGTCATGAAGGAAAGCAAGCCTATCAGAATGGTTGACACTTCCCAAGCAGGGTTGAAGGACTTGGGATGGAAGTCGGAGATGGAGAGGCAGAGGCGCGTAGATGGCTGAAAGCGACCGGAAGGAGTGTGCATTCGGATAGCTGGGGGCGCGAAAGGGTAATTCGGGGGGAAGACCAGAGTTCCCCAGTACTGGCCACCATGGTATGGTGTGTTTTCGGGACCGGTGATGATATAGTGCCATCTGTCTACCTGTTAGCATGAATATCTTACATGGATGCGATGGCGGATAACGTACTCGAGAATGTTGGATTCAGAGGGGTGTGCCTCGATGTATGGTGGAGGGTTTTCAGCGATGGTCTTGTACTCGCGCGTCAACTGTATAGGAGTTAGTCTGATGTATCCTGTCGATGTGATATCGGTGGACATTACCCTCTTCTGTGCGGCTCTACTGGCGGCCATGGTTGCTGAGAATTGCCGACGAGATGCTGTGGTATCGGGATCGACGGTGGGCGGCGAACGACGTAATGGGGAGCACGATCAGTGAATGGTGGCGGGTGGCCAGTCGAGAGAGCGAAGAGAATGATATGGGTATTGTACAGAAGATGAAAATCGAAAGGACTGAATACACGCAGTTGGATGCAGATGCACTGCTCTCTTTCGACTGTTGGCTTGTACGGTGTTGGGGTTGGTGTTGATATAGGATGAGCGAATGGGTAACGGAGATGGAATGCGGCGAGGCTGTGACAAGTGCCGCCAGTGCGTTGTCCACTCAAGATGCTTTTGGGGGGGGGGGGGGCTTGAGGGGCCCTCGGGGTGCGTCAAAACGCAAAGACACAGAGACGGAGAAAGATACGTATCGCCGGTGTCCGGTGAGTCCACGCCGAAGTTCCGCCACAGAATTATGTCACTGGTCGAAGTACCTTAGTGGGTCGTTACCAGCCACATAGCGCATCCTGCCTGTGCCACAGAATTTCCACCAATTTCCATTGGATGAGTGACACAGTGAGGTGTGGCTGGAGAGCAGTGAGGACGTACCCACTTCAGTGGACAGAGCTTCCAGAATGTGGCTGGAGCTTCCTCTCCCGAGTGCCCCAGAAGCCCCACCGAGAGTGACCTCGTCCCGATCCGTTCCCTTGCGCCCGTGCTGCATCTCGAAATTCAACCGAAGCTCTCCGGCTCGTGTGATTTTTGTCTTGTCTACCCGCTTACAAGCTGCAACGTTGAGCTCCCGTCTGTCACAACTCCCACCAAGGCTCCAATGGCTTCCAAGACCAGTGCGAGCGGAAGCTCTGTATAGCCCCCCCCTTCTCAATCGTCTCTAAACCATCCAACGAAAGCTAATGGAACCCGCGCTTTTCTTAGGCTTCCAACCCGATTGGCAAGCTCCAGGCCGGACCCGATGCCTTGCGCAAGGAGGCAGAATCCTCAGCCGAGTTCGAGAAGCTCCAGGAAGAGGCCAAGATTAGAAGGCTGCAACAATTGGCACGCTCTGACCCTTCTCTCATTCAACGGTCCCTGACCTTGCTAATGCGCACAGTAGCTCTCCGACCAAAACTCGCAGCCCATGACCATCAACCGCTTGCAGGTTCACGGCGCTACCAACACCCGAAGAGGCTTCCTCGACCCTATCTTCACCCCGCTCTTGACCGAGGATGTCAACAGCTCCTCTACGCTCGGCGAAGTAGCCGCGCGGTTGGGCGACGCCAGAGGAAAGCTGGAGAGACTAGGTATAATGGGCAGCATCCGCCTTGGGAGAGGCACAATGGTCTAACACCTACTCATAGGCATCTTCCACCCCGATGTCAAAGTCCACCTTAGCAACGCCAACAACACCGATGCCTCGTCCACTCCGACCGACGTCGACGTCGATGTCGTCGTCAAAGAGCTCTCCCGTTACAAGTTCAACGCCGGAACCGATGTCGGAAACAGCGAAGGCTCCGCTTATACCTCCTTGCTCTGGCGCAACATCTTTGGCGGTGCGGAGCAGCTTACTGTCAATGCCAGTGCTGGCACGAGAACCCGTTCCGCATACAGTGCGACCTTGAGCGCACCCGTCCAAAGCAACCCCGATACGAGAATCGCACTCGAGGGCCTGGCTTCCGCCACCGATAAATCCTGGGCAGCACACGAGGAGGTCCTGAAGGGAGGAAACCTGCGCTTCTCATGGCTTTCTGGCCTCAAGGACATGCACACGGTTGAATATTCCGGCATTTGGCGCCAAGTTACTGGCCTTCGCGACAGTGCCAGTCCCACTGTCCGTGCCGATGCCGGAGACTCCGTAAAGAGCTCCATCAAGCACACATACCAGAGAGACGAGAGAGATAACCCGCAGCTTCCGCAAAGCGGCTACGTACTCAAGTCCGTTTGGGAGCTGGCTGGTCTCGGCCCCCTGGGCGGTGACGTCGCCTTCTCCAAAAGCGAATGGGAGGTGGGCGGTGCGCTGCCTGTCCCCGTTCCTGGCATGGAGGGACCATCCGGAATCTCGATTGGTGGTGGATTGAGGTTCGGTATGCTGTACCCGCTTCCTCTTGGCTTTGCCTCCGAAGGCAAGTCCCAGCCGAGCCGCATCAACGACAGATTCCAGCTCGGTGGGCCCACCGACGTTCGCGGTTTCCACTATGGAGGTCTTGGACCCCACGACGGATCCGATTCGGTCGGAGGAGACGTCTTCGCAGCTGGTAGCGTGAACATGCTGTTCCCTCTGCCTTATAAGGGCCCCGACTCTTCCCTCCGCTTCCAAGTATTTGCCAACGGTGGCAGGTTAGTCGCGATGAAGAACAAGGGCAAGACTGGCGCTTCAGCCAGCGAGGGTCTCGACGCTGGAAGTGTCGCAGGCAGCGCGTGGAGAGCGTTGAGTGACCTGACGACTGGTCTGCCATCAACAGCCGCTGGTGTCGGTCTGGTCTACGCTCATCCTGTTGCTCGTTTCGAGCTCAACTTCAGTCTCCCGTTGGTGCTGAGACGCGGCGAGCAGGGTACCAAGGGATTGCAGGTTGGGGTCGGCATCAACTTCTTGTAAAGGTCTCATTTCCGACGTACGGACAAAGTTTACGTGCCGGCATGCAGCACAGCCGAGCCAGGCCACATTGTACAACAAAATCATTGTAGATACTCTCTAATTGGAAGATTACAACATGAAAATACCGACCGAGTTTCCGAACACTTCGGGGCTGGGCCTTTCATTCCACACAACGTCCGTCCGTCGCGCGATGCCTGTCCCTTCCTACGGGTCTTCCCACGGTCCCTAATAGCTTATTCAGCGCAAACCTGGTATTCTTTAGTCGGCCTCCGATCGCCGGGACTCATCCGTCTCACAGGGGTGTCGTGGAACTTGGAAGCCATCATGGCATTGTTGCAGCGTCGGCATAAGGGTCCCAATAGTCAATCGGCACGAAATCCTTCCAGAATATCCCATTCGCTGGATTTCGGCCTCCGGATGGTCGACTGCAGGGATAGGACATCAGCTCCAGGATAGGAAGTTGAGCCAGCGCAGAAGCGACCTCAAAGTCTATGGGCGATGTAACGTATAGGTTCCCCTCACCGCAGCTCTGCCGCCCTCGTGTAAAATGCGCGGCTGGTTTGTTGGGGGCTGGGCAGCGTAATCACAGCATTCTGGATGTTTTCTCCGTTGGTTCCAAATTACACCTTCCAGGGGAACGATGTTCTTTGGTGCTGGTTAAACCCTGCTGACAAGTGCATCCCACGCGCGATACAGGTTAACGATTCCAACCTCGGCGGATTCCATGACTCGCTGATCACTGTACGAGCCGGGTCCCTGGATATAGGCTGCATGTAAGACGGCATCAATGACACCACCTGGATGATACAAATAAGAACATGTCGTCTGCTGTCAAAGGCTAGTGTGCTGCTGCACTCCCGCCACCTTGGACGTTCCCAAGTCATCAAGCACGATGCGGCTCCTCTCTTGTCTGTCGCTGCTTGTCACGGCGGCTTCCGCCCTCACCGTAAGAGTCCCATCCGTCGCAGAGGACTTGAAGACGCTTGTAGCAGCATCGTCGTCAGTAGCTATTGACCTCCGTGCGAGATGGAGTACATACCATGCTCCCATCCCGTCCATCGTGGTGAATGTGACGACGGAGAAAGATGTTGGTGCAGTTGTGAGTTGTCCCATCAAACGTCGCATCATGAGCCATGTTCTCTGACTTTTGTACCAGGTCAAATACTGTGCGAGCCATAAGATACCTTTCACAGCGCAGAACGGCGGTAACGGCTGGGGCAAGACTTTCAACCTCGGCAACAACGGAGTCATTATCAACTTGGCTGGTCTGAATGCCGTCACTTTCAGCAAGACGAAAACGGAAGCTACTATCGGGGGCGGGGCCATCATTGGTGACACGATCAAAGCAGCTAATGCTGCGGGTGTATTGGTCCAGACGGGCAACTGCAACTGTGTCGGTGCCCTTGGTGCCATTCTGGGAGGCGGTTACGGTTAGTTGATGACACTGACAACCCAAGACAGATCCTGGACTAACAGCATGACAGGGAATCAAATGGGAGAAGTCGGCTTTGGCGTTGACAATGTGCTCTCCATGCGGGTCGCAGTCGCGAGCGGAGAGATCCTCACGACCTCGCCGACCTCCAACCCAGACCTCTTCTGGGCCCTCCGCGGGGCCGGACCCAACTTTGGCATCGTCATCTCGGCGACGGTTAAGGCGCGGCCCATGCCGGTCGAAGGCCGCAACGCCTGGCTCATGAACCTCTTCTTCTCGCCAGACAAGCTTCCGCAAGTCGCCCAAGCCATCCAAGACCTGCCCCTGAAACCGGAGCAGGTCGTTTACCTCGTCCTCACCAACTCAGGACCACCATCTAATGCCCCCGCCGTCCTCGTCACCGGGTTCCTGCGCCAAGGCAACGACGTGACTGGACGTGCGGCGTTCGCTCCGCTGTATAACCTGGGGCCGATCTCGAACAGCAGCAGCGTGGCCGGGTACGAAGGCTGGAACGCGGGCAACGACAACTTTTGCGCGCGCGAGGAGCGCAAGCCGGCGTACAGCACGACCATCAACCACATGCAGCCCGAGACGTGGCCGGCGATCTGGGACCTGTACACGGAATTCCAAGCCAAGGGGCCCAACTCGGCCGTGCTGATTGAGCGGTATAACCTGACCAAGGCGCAGTCTGTACCCAAAGGGTCTGCGGCGCTGCAGGAGGCGTTGAGGAGGGACGCGTTTGCGCAGGCGATTGTGATTCCTTGGTACACTGATGCTGCGCTGGACGGCGAGGCGGAGGCGTTTGCGGGCAAGGTTAGGGATATTTGGAGTTATTCGCCGAGTGCGGTGGCTAATCCGACGTATGTCAACTTTGCGCATGGCGATGAGACGGCTGAGGCGGTGTATGGGTCGAGTTTGACGAGGTTGAGGGAGCTGAAGAAGAAATGGGATCCTTTGGGGGCTTTCAATCAGTGGTTTCCAGTTGGGGCATGAAGCATTGGTTCGTCACGACCTTTATCAAAACCTTGAAATGGTATAGCTATAGCTTCTGGGTGAAGCCGCGCCCTCCCTATTGCGTTCATCTGACTCTTGTGTATCGAGTTGCCGAACCCCATTAATCCAGCTCCTGGAACTTGATGGCTAGGGCCACTGCCTAGATAGCGGCATGTTAACGAAGATGGTGTTTAGTGATGGCGGTTGGTTGAAACATCGGACATGATATTTCCGGGCTATCCTTGACTACTCGGACAAGGAACCACTGGTATCATCGGATAGCCGGGCATCGCGAACCTACATGATTGTGTTCCGTCCCTATGAGAAGACCCCGATTTCAAGACTACATACTTCTGATAAATTGAACAGTGGCTCCTTCCCTACTTTTTCCAAGCACAGGGTGTATCCCTCCCTCCTACATCGTTTTCTCAATTCAATCATATCAGTATTCCGAACCGAGTAGTCGATGCTAGGTCTGTGTGTTGAGCCGATACTTTCCGTAGAAGGTTCAAATGAGTGCAGCGAATGTGGACTTTAAGGATTGCGAACAGTAGCGGATCCGGGTCCGGGCTCCATTTGAAAAGCGCGGCCCCACATCGGCTCCGAATGCAAATGCGCCGTACGCCGTACCGGTAGCCTGGGACTCGATCATCAATCGGACGGGACCTGGATCGGTTTTCTTGTCAGATGAGTACACTAAGATCCCAGCAGCGGATGGAGGGGTCTCGATTTAAGTGGCCCAGTGTCTCGGACAAAGCAGTTGGTGGTCTGACGTCGTTAGGAAAGCGTTGCTGACATAATCCATAATTGTACTCTGTACCTTGATCTCCCGTCATCTAAGACGAAGTGCGCCCGAAGGTGAGGTACCTAGCTTCAACAGTAGTGCACCGGCGGCCCTGGTGGCTTGGGATTCGGGAACCTATTTTCGTGGCTACCACGGGCCTGACCGCAAAGGAAGCTCGGTCGGTCGGCCGGTCAGAGCCTCAGAGGTGCATCCGCTAGGGATGGCGTTGAATCTTTTGTCAGATTGTGGTGTGACTTGCAGCGCACCAACTGTCAAAGACCCGGAGCTAAGGAGAAGTGACGATGATTTGTTTGTCAGGGCATAGGCGTGACAGAAGAGGATGCAAACAAAACAACAAACGGATCTCGCCATGTCAATGATTCCTCCAAGGGACGGCTTCCTGCATCCCTTGGTCCCTTTGCTAGATACGAATTACAACAGGACTTGCCCCCCCCGCACATTGTCTAGGAGAAAGGGGACGGGCAATGTATGCTCGTCTTTTTTGATTCTTTTGACTCGGGCAATCAACGGTTCTTCCGGATGGGTATCAAGGTGAATTGGCCCGAGGTGAGCTTCCCCTTCACCTTTCGAGGTGACTACTAAGGTACCTTAGGTAAGGTACCTAAGGTGAGGAACCTTCCAATCGGTCGGTACGTGCTTTTATAGTGGGTCGTGGCTATAGCTCTCCAGACCCAGCCATTCTCGAGCCAATGAGATTGAGGATGGGAAGCTCCAAGCTCGGAGTACGTACCGGGAAGATCGAACCGCTTTTTATTTTATTTTTTTCTCTTCTCTGAGGTTCCTGCGGGGGTAAAATTTTGTGACGCAGCCCCGATTTTTGTCATCATCGGATTTTTTTTATCTTTATTTTTCGGTCTCTGTTTTTTTTTTCTGACCCATGTACTCCGTACTCCGTACCGGCCTACAATCTGTGAGTGAGTGCTCCCTGACGCGGCTTCAATATCTCGCCGGGTAGGAGCAGCAAGCACCAACTGCAGCTGCACTTCTTTCCTTGGCCCAGGTGGATGCCTATCTGCGTACAGGAAGGTTTGGATAAGGGACCTGATGCCTCAATGACTTCCATCTACGTGACCAACATCCCAAGACCTTAAAACAGAATAGAAACGGTCAAGCAAGGCAGCGACGGAAAGAAGCTTGCTCTTGCTCTTGCTCTTGCTCGCACCTTCCGTCTTCCCGTCTTATTAATCGCTGGCTCTTGGACGTTTATTTTCCACCTCCACCAACAACACCCAAGTACCTTACCTTTACCTGTGACCCAACACCCCGTCATCCAAAGGGCCAAGGACGTCAAGACTCAAACGGCCCGTCTTCTTGTCTTCTGCTTCTTCTTCCTCTTTCTACTCCGTACCCCTTGGTCCTTTTCTCCTCCCCTTCATCCACTTTCTTCTGCTTGACATCCCATTGTCACGCCTCTTTCACCACCCTTGGGAGACCTTCCACTCCACTCCCTCACGCCTCCCCTCTCCTCATCCGTCCGTACGGATACCTTGACCTTGCCTTACCTCATCACGCAGCAGCACCGCCTGAAGCTGCTCGCTGTTCTATTCTGTTGTGCCTCGCCGTGGCATAACTCCCTCCCTCCCACTTCTCTTCTTTTCCCTCTTTGCATCTCGCTATTTTGCTTCCGGCTTCCTCCTGCATTCGCCGTCTGGAGACATTGGTGGCACGCATCAGCACCCGCATATCCCCTCTATCATGCGCAGCCCACACGAAAAGAGTCACTAGCTCTGCTTGACAGTTACCTTGCCCCCCCGTCCCCCTTCCAAGGCCACACCACCACACGACTTACAATTTGCGACTCTCCCATACAGCTCGACTGCCTGTCTTTCTCCCTCAGGGATATCCACTTTCTCCTCGGAGTAGTGTAGGTACTCTACTCTGCGAAGAGACTGCCCTGAGTCTGAGCCTTTCAAGTATTGCCGCTATCGCCGAACCGACAACAGCTGCTACCGCCTACCGCGAACCACCCCCGGCTCCTATTCCTTGCCTTGTGTGGCCCCGGCACACACAGCAGCCCATCCACTTTCAATCTTGGGGCCCGTTCCGCCAAGTCAAAGACCGCTTCTCCTTGCGCTGCGGGCTCAACAGCACCCTTCCAACATCACCACCACACAACCCTCCCGCCTAGCCTCGCCCACCATGGCTCCCAACGGCAATCCGAAGGCGAGGAACGGTGCCGGTGTCGCCCATGGAAGGCCTAACGCTGCAAGGCGTGTGGTTCCCGTCATTCCTCTCCCCATGGACCGTCGCGTCAAGGCCAATGCTGCTGCAAAGCAGGCCGCCGCTGCTGCCCAAGCCGCCACTATTGCGACCATTCCTCGACCCGCCATCACGAACGGCTCTTCCTTGAAAATTCAGCACGACGTCGACTCCGCCCCTAGCACGCCCAAGACCATCGACATCGAGATTGCCACAGCCGAAAACGACAAGGGACAGCCCGTTGCTGCCACCAATGGTTCTGAGGAGACGCCTTCGCCTGCCGACGCGGAGGTCGATGACACAAAGGATCGCGAAGGTATGCAGGAATTTTTTTGCCAGGTTTCAACACACTCGGAGAACATTTGACTCACTCTTCTTTACTAGCTACCGACTCCCAGGAGTCTTCTGCCGCCATCCCGACTCCGTCCACGACCGAAGAGTCCGAATCGACCGACAAGACCGCCGATCAAGACCTCCCCCGCTCTGCTGAAGAGCCTGTTCGAGGTATGCCCGCCCTTGGCGCTTGCAACTCCGGTCACCACTACTCACACACCGCAGGCAATGTTCACGTCGCCTCTCCGCCCGCGGCGGCCCAAGTTGGGAAGAAGGGTAGGGACCTTGAATCTCGCGATACCCTCACGTCTCAAAGGTCTAATCACTATGCTACAGACAATGCTCACCAGCAGCATCCGTCGACATTCCGACCCCCTCCCGTCATCCCTCCAACGCGTTACAACATGCCGCCCAATGCTCACAATGGCTCGCGCCCTTCTCCCGTCGTCATCAACGGTACCTCTCACCGGGGCCCCCGATCAGTTCACAACGGTCCCCCACACATGCATGGCCCGCGTCCCAGCAACGGAAGCCTTCAGTTTGGCGGTTTCGCCTCCAACTCGTCTTCTCCGGCGCCCCCTCACTCTGGAGGCTTCATGCCCCCTCCTGGCATGCCTCTCCCCGACGGACGATCCTTCAGCGGTGCTGCCAACGGTTTCCACCGCCAGATGCCCTACGGTACCGAGTTTGTTCCCGGCACGGGTGTAGATGGATTCGGCCGACCTGTTCCAGGCTATGGAGGTATGGAGCAGTACCCTCCTCATCTCAACGGTGGCTACGGACCTTCGACTCCTCATAGTTTCCAGGGGTCGCACTCTTCGGCCCATGCGGATGACACTGGTGCCTACAACCACTACCCCGCGCCAGGCGTCCCCAACGGTACGGCACATGTCGATGACGCTCGCCCTCACCCTCCTCCAGCCGGAGCTTTCGGTGTACCGCCCCAGCGAATGATGCCTGGGCCTATCCCGCCCCCGCATATGATGCACCCCGGCCACGAGCACCAGGGACTGGACGACATGGCCGCCTATCTGCGATCGCAATTTAGAGACCCTGCCTTTGCCGACTGCACCCTGGAGCTTCGCTATCTCGACGACCGCGCTCCTCCCGTTCGCCTTCCAGGTCACCGTCTGGTTCTTGCCAGAAGCCAAGCCGTCCGCAATGTTCTAGAGGCCGATAACGTCGAATCCAGCTCGCCGGGCGCTAACCGCACCATTCTTCTGCAGTCCGATGATAAGTACCTCCGATCTGATGCCTTCTGGATGGCAGTTCAGCACCTGTACGCCTTTCCGCTATTGGACATCCCTGAGCCAGCCTCCAACGGCAACTTCACCATGGCTGGCAACGCCGATGACCGCTTCGACTTTGCCCTTGGCTATGCTGCCGCCGGTCACATCCTCTCGTGGCAGCCTATTGTTTTCCGTGGCCTGGAGATAGCGTCTCATTCTCTTAGCTGGTCGACGATGGAGCGTGCTCTTGGCTTCGCCCTCGGCGATTTGCCTAGTCGCGCTTCAGCTGACAGACACAGCCAGTTCGTCTATGGCGAACCTGTTCACGTTTTGATGAACGGCATCATCTCCTTCATCATCAACAACTTCCCGCCCGACTTCACCCTGGACACGTCTGTCGCTGATCCTGAGCGCTTTTCCCGACTTCCTATTGTTTCGACATCACTCCCACCCCGCGAAGGAACACCCACGATTGCTCGCGGAACAGCGGGCCAAGATCGTCGCTCTCGCCCCATGCACATCCAGTTCGGTGACCTCGCTTTGGGCCCTGACAACACATCGAACGGCTCGGACTCGACCTCACAGTCCTCTCAGCACAATAGCATCCGGTCGACGCTCTCAGCCATTCTCATCAACCTCCCGTTTGCGTACTTGAAGCCAGCCCTCGAGTCCAGTGGCTATGGTAATGTCAACGGATGGGCGAACGTCGAGGCTCGGCATCACATCATGCGGGCTGTCGTTTCTGAGCGGGAGAATAGACGCTCGAGAGTGGTTGAAGCGGTCAGATCTGGAGCGGTTCCGCATGCCGAGTCCATCTTGTATAGCCTGCAGAGTGCCGATCCTCGTCAGAATGAGGAGTGGCATGCCCTTGGCTGGCGTGAGGATGTGGTGTCGTACGTTAACGGCGACGCACCGTCCCTCGGCCGGCAGTGGGTTCCGTTGATGGCGCCGCAGCAGCAGCAGCAAAACGGCACCGGACATGTGGAGGCTACTAGCCGAGCGGCCTACCCTTGAGATGGTGCAGTATTGCAGCTAGGATTACGATGTTACGACACGGGAACTAAAAAACACCAACAAGCAGTGGATGACCCGCAATGGACTGCAATCGCATTTGCATGATGGAGTACAAAAAGCGGCAGCAATTCCTTTTCTTAGGTTCAGGGCGACGGTTTCGGCATTGCATATGGTGTTGGCAGTTTTCACTTTTCTTCTTTCTTGGCAATGGAGCCAGAACATAAAAGCTTTGGGAAGCGCGCGGGTAGTGTCGCTCAGCACCTTGGTTTTGCTGATAATGGGCGTTTACTGCGCCAGTTTCCTTTGTATGCGCATGCAAACAATCTGACGAGGACTGGCCTTGGTGGATGCTCATCCCTTAGTGATGCTGGTCGATTCCTTGGGGGACGGCTTGACAGAAAGGGAAGGGCGTTTGGGTGAGGATAGACGAAGGAATTGTGCAAAGATTCTTGAGCTACCCTGACTCGGGCAGAGAGGATATCCTCAATCTACCGGAGCAGCCACGAATGACGATGGCATATGACGATATGAGGGGAACCAGAAAAATATGGCGAGGAAGGGATAAAAATTCAGGCCAGGATATGGCTGCCGGTTGTGGGGACGAAGGATACCCAGGTTGAGTGAGATGAGAAGGGCTACTCTGGTTTGCCGAGGAAGTAAAAGGCAGGGACGAGGCGAGTGGCAGGGCATGAGACGTGTGTTTTTAGCAAGGGAATGAATGGCTCGCGAGGCCGTAAATATGCGTGCATTGCGGAATGGTACTCATTGAAGATTGACATAGACCCGGTGTGATGTGATGAGGGACTCACTATGAGACGGGACTCGGTGAGCCTCTCTCTGTGAGATGTGAGTGAGATGTGAATGAGATGTAGGTGAGGCAGACGGTGATGTCCACCTCACGTGCCTCGGCTAAGGTATCTTGAGATGCCTATGAGCTTGAGATGAGGATCATGAGGTATGACAACAGACGCGCCACAAGACTGCACTTGTTTGGCCAATGCGACGCCAACAGTCATAGTCAACAGTAACAGTCAACATTACAAAGTCAACAAGGCGAAAAAGACGAAAAAACCAAGACGCGACTTGTGGTGAGTTTGTGAGTGTGGATGATATGATGCATGAAGTAGTCATTAAACTCGGGTTGTCTGCAAGTGACGAGTGTGGGGGAGTCCCCTGCTGCGGGGGGGGGACAGGACGCCTTGGACGCCTAGGGAATTAGTTGCGTTGCATTGGGCCTATGAGAGGCACCCGTTTCTGTTTGTTTCTGCCCCCTACGGATACTGGACCCCGGAAAGGTAAGGAACTATTCACTGTGCTGTAGGGATTGGGGTGGGATAGGTAGTTCCAGGTTGGGCCTGAGAGCCGAGGCATGTGCTTTTTGGAGCTTTCGGCCACCCAAGGAAATGTTTCCCGTGACGCTCTCTGGCGGTTTCCCCCCCGGACGGAACCTTGGGTGTTTGGCTCGAGGGGTTCCAGGTTGCCCGACCAGTCCGTTCCATTCAGTAATTACCCCCAAGGAAGATACCTACCGTACCGTTCACATTCCTTCTTCCCACACGCGCAGCAGCAACCATTTGGGACTTGCTTTTTCCCATTGCTGTTGCTTTTTGCCTTTCTACGCTCTACACCATTTTAACTTGTTGCTTCTTCTTTCTCGCCTCACCTTCAACAGCTGCTAGGTATTCTAACTTAATTGCGTCTCTCCACGACTCGCGCGCACACCTCTTCCCTTTATCTCTGATACCCCGACTACCTTACAGTACGTTCGTCATTGAAGCCATCACCGTGCACACGCACTTGGGCGATTGGCAGTCAACCCAAGGTTTCGGCTTTGGCACGTGCTAATCAAGAGCTACTCCAGTTCGGACCAAGCACATTTCCAACCACCAACCGCCGAGGAACACACACCACACACACCACGGAAGCACGCACTATTCCCACGACCACGATACTAGAACGACTACACCCTCTCCAAGGCCTCGATTCAAGTAACCGACACAAGTCTCTGCTGGCGTCGCTCCTGTCTCCCATCAGGCGCCTCATCGCAGCCATCCACTACCACCATCCCATCTCGCGATAATGGCCTCTGCCGCGGCCTCGTCGTCGCGGCCAGGCCCGACTGCAGCCTCTCGTCCCGCGCAAACACCGAGCCCCCGGCCCTCCGCAGGTGGCCCTTCTTCGCGACCGCCGCCCTCGCGCAATAGCATCACCGATCCCATCCTCCGAAACACCCTGCGATACACAATCTCCGCCAAGGAGTATGCCACCCTACACAAGTACGTCTTGTCGCGCTCGCGGCTGCTTAAGAGGGCTGCGCCGAGCGTCACCGCTGTCGAGCGCATCGTCGATGGTGACAAGGCCGCTGTCGCAAGGCAAGGAAATGCTGCTCCCGCCGCTCCTGCTGGTGCTGGGGCCGGTCCTGGGAGGGCTGTTGATGATTACAATGCCCGCGCCGTGAGGCATTCCCTTCGCGTCTTCTTGGGAACAGCCATGGCCTTGAAGGGCTGGGCTCTCATTTCTACCAAATTCCTGGGCGGAAAGCCAGAGTAAGTTGCTCCCCCCGATAAACTATACATGTGAGGAAGACGGCCTACTGACCATGTGCCTTGCACACACTTGCAGTCCCAACGCCAAAAAGCAACCCCTCCACAAGTCACCTACCCTCCGACTCTCCCTCTCCCTTTCAGCTATCCTCCTCCTTTACCGCATCCTCTTCCGATTCCTTAACCGCCTACGAGCGCACCTACTCGACCCATCAGCGGCGCCCTTCCGCCAGCGCAACCCGCGCACAACTGCGACCTTGACGTCCCCATTCGCTCCGGCCATTGGCGCCTCTCTCGCTGGTGCATTCCTCGGCGTCTACCCCGCCCAGCAGTTGCGCGTCACCATTGCCATTTACACCTTGTTCAGAGCCCTCGAATTCGGCTGGAATCTGTGTGAAGAGGAGGGCATGATTTGGGGCTTCAAGAACGGTGGAAAGATCAAGAGGGAGAGACCCTGGTGGTGGGGCAGCTGGCTCATCCAGCCCTTTGCCTTTGGACAGCTGCTTCATGCTGTTGTCTTTGACCGAGATTGCTTCCCTGAGGTAAGGAATGCTGCTTGAGCTTTGTCCTTGGGAAATGCTGACCTCCCTGACCAGTCGTATGGAAACTTCATTTTCAAAAACTCAACGGCGTACATCCACCCTAGGCCAAATGACTACCCATCTCATCTCAAGTGGCCCAAGGCTATGGAGATTGTCGACAACCTTGCCCAGATGGCGAAGCTGAACTGGCCGTGAGTCTCCCTGTATAATCCCATCAAGTTGCATTTTCTAACAACAGTAGACCTTTTGTATCACCAACTCTCTTCCCGAATAAGGAGACACTGCCACCAACGCTCAGTGCTGTTGCACCTCTTACTTCATCAGCACATCCCATCATCACTTCGCTATCATGCGCTACTCTTCATCCGTCCGACCCATCTTGTCTACGGACCTACCTCAACTTCTGGCTCGGTTCTTTCCCCGGCCTCACCAAGTTCTTCCTGGTCATTTATTCCGTCATGACCTTCGTTCCGCGGTTCCGCTCGCTGTACAACGCTCCCGTCACGACATTGCAGCGCGTCATTGCCAAGTCGTTGCGCATGAGCACCTTCTTGACCGGTGCAATCTCCACTGCCTGGGCCAGCATCTGCTTCTTCCAACAGTGGTTCCCTCGCACGTTCCTGCCGACTCAGAGGTTCTTTTTTGGAGGCTTCCTTGCCGGTCTCTGGGCGTGGGTGGAGCGCAAGAGCGGACGCGGTGTCTTCTTGTACTCGGCCCGCGTGAGCGTCGACTCTCTATGGAAGGTCGGCGTCAAGAGGAGGTGGTGGAAGGCCATGAAGGGCGGAGACGTATGGGTCTTTGTCATGGCGCTGATGCTGACCGGTGTTGTCTACGAAAGAGATGCGAGGGCTGTCAAGGAGGGCAGCTGGAGAAAGGGTATCAGCTGGGTCCGGGGCGAGGGCTTCAAGGACTGGAGCATCGAAGAGGAGTCTGAGGACGAGACCTTGTTGGAGAAGACCGACTAGAGTGCGGTGTGCGATTCTGCCCTGCCGTCGACGCCGCCTACGCCTTCTGGCTCGCCAGAGAATTTGGCCACGAGGTATCGAACAGCCCTTCAGGTGTGGGGTGAGGTGATGATGCTTGATTTTGAGTCGGACGTCGAGTCTCCGGTCTATTCGGCGCCTTCGACGGTCTCGAGGAGCGAACTGAGCACAATCGAGGAGGAAATTGGCGATGAAGACTTGCCCTCCAGCTGGGGCGCGCCCTTATCATCATCACCACTCATGGGAGTGAGTATGAATGAGAGAGCACGGTGCTTTTGTAAATGAACCCTGTACGCTTCCGTGTTGCTTTAGTTATGAGGCCATGGCGAGCTTGTTATCCTTGACATTCATGTTGTATCAATGGCGACGAGTCCATGCTTGATGGCTGTTTTACAATACCTCCCTAGTAATACAAACTTTGTAATCGTTCACATGTGCCTGCGTTCGTATGAGTACACTCTCTTGCCCTCGTTGCTGTGAGTATAAAGTGGATGTGTCTTTGATCCAAGATTTGGTAAAACGTACATGTATACTGTCTAAAGAGATTCGTCTTGAAGGCTTATTACAATAGCGAATGTTCTGACTAAATGTGGCTATGGTCTATATCCATTTACGAGCCCATTCTATCGCATTACCCCTGGCCATGTAGGAACGACTGACGAAACCATAACACCCGTCATTTTTGACAGCTCTCGAAACTGCTTTACACCGCAGTCGAGGACACACGCTCATGAACCGAAAACGAGCCATACTTGCCACCTTTCCCTCTTGAGCTGTCCGACCCCGTAATGACAGTCCCAAGTGCACTCTGCTCCGACATGGGCACATAATCGCCAAATAGCTCATCCATCTGCTCGAGCGTACGGCCCGACGTCTCGGGATAGAAAAAGTAGTAGCACAGCGCCGCGACGACGTTGAACACAAAAAAGACGTAAAAGAACTTGAACCCGACGGCCGTGAGGGCCTGCGGCGAAAAGGAGACGAGGACGAGGTTGATGGTCCAATTGGTAAACGTCGTGAGCGCGTTGCCGAGGGCGCGGATCTCGAGGGGGAAGATCTCGGCCGGGTAGACCCAGCTTATGATGCCCAAGGGCGTGAAGAAGAAGCCAAAGACAAAGTTCATGGCGACCATGCTGCGTAGTTGGTCTGCGTTGGAGCGGTCTAGGTACTGGAACTGGACGGCGTTGACGAGGAGGGCGGCAGCTAGGCCTACGGCTGATGCGATGAGGGGTCGGACGCGGCCGATACGATCGAGGAGCCAGAGGCCGACGGTGTTGTATATGATACCCAGCGCGCCGTTGATGCCGATGATCATGAGCGAGGTCTGCGTTCCGATCCCTAGAAGCTCGTAGATGCGAGGGCCAAAGTAGTTGATTACATTAATACCCGAGAGCGGGGAGAAGGCCTGGACGCCGCAACCTAGCAACAAGCGTTTCCGCCAGGAGGGCTTTGTGATGATGGCCTTCCAGAGGTTGCCGTTCTCGCGGAGGGCGGATTGGGTGCGGACGGCGTGGCGGATCTCGTTGTACTCCACGTCGACGGCCTTTTCGTCGACGCCGACGCGGAGCTTGTCGAGGCTGCGGCGGGCTTCGGCATAGCGGCCCTTTTCGACGAGCCAGCGGGGGGATTCTTCGAGGAAGTAGATTCCTGTTGCGATGATGATGCCGGGGATGCATTGGAATGCGAGTGGGAAGCGCCCTGACGGCTGTCAGTCCAGGCTCACTTACGAAGCAGGGAAGAAAGAAAGAGCTCACATGAGAAGTCGTTCGTTACAAAGGAGCACCCATACCCCAACCACTGCGCAACCAGGAACCCCCAACTAAGCATCCACTGCAGTAACCCCGACAGTTTCCCACGATGTCTCGCCTGCGCGAGCTCCGAGGCGTACATGGGAATCGTAGACGTCAGTACGCCCACAGCCGTCCCGCCGACGAACCGCCCAACAATGAGGGCGACGAGATTCTCCGACCCGGCCTGGAGCGCGGAGCCCATGATGCTTATGAGCGAGCCGAGGAACACGGTGTTGCGGCGGCCGAGCCAGTCGGAGCAAATCATGTTGATGATCGTGCCGAGGATGGCGCCGCCTTGGAAAGAGGAGACGATGCCGGCCGCGACGGCGTCGGAGGGGTTGAAGTAGGATTTGAAGGTCTGGAGGGCGATTGTGGAGGTGATGATGCCCGAGTCGAAGCCGAAGAGGAAGCCGCCCGTGGCCAGGAACGCGGCTGACCAGATGGTTACATGGCGGCCCATACTAGCTTGAGACTGTGGGTAGTGGGTAGTAGTCGTGGATGTGACCACACTGTTTAGTTCTTATTTAGAGAAGAAAGATGGTGTGTCTTGTCAGTCGTCTCTGATGTAACCGATTCCCTGGAAATGGATAGCTTGTATGGACCGGACGGCGTGTAAGTCAGTTTGTTCGTATCATGCGAAAACGGCTCCAGTTGCCAACGTCGTATCTTGGCAACGGCTTGTTCAGTCTACTCTTCCCCACGAACGGAGAAAACATAAGAGGGTGAAAGCAGAGAAAAGAAAAGAGAAGGACAAAAGAGATCTAGGGCAAGACGTATGGGAATTCGGATGCATTTCTAGAAAGGCCTGTGCGAGAGCTGGGCATGTTCGGAACGCAACCTCTCAGCTATAAGGTAGGTGAATGACGGCGGGAAGTGGCGGGCGGGAGCTTATTGCGTAAGTCGTCCAGTCTTTTTTCTCCCCTTGAGAAGAAAGAAGAGGGAGGTAGGGTAGGCAAGCGAGGGTGAGAGTGAGTGGTGTGAGGTGTGAAACTTTTCGCGATAGGATTTCCCAACATAGTCAACGTTGAACCGACGGCCGTTGAGCTGCGAGATCTCTCCCTTCCGTCTGTCTTGCTTCAGTCTTTGCTTCCTTCTACGCACTCTGTAGCAGGACAAGGTTAGAGTTCCCGGTGTCTTTCTCTCTCTGAAAGCACCAGCGGCCGGTATTCCTGCAACCGCACAAACGAAAGACGCGCAACGCAAGTCCGTTTCCTGTACTTCCCGCCCCGGCTCCCCGCCGCTTGAAACCGTCACCAAAACGTAAATCTTGCGATGATTATCATATGATTTTCTGATACCTGTCTTCGGTCTCCGTCCCGGTCAACCTGTCCATCTCTATTGTGTTCCGATCTTCTAACCTTTATAAACTCACATGTCTTCCCGACTTTCGCTCCAAGGTTCTGTTAGCCAAGGTATGGACTACTTTCCGGCTCAAGATGTTTGGGGCTGAGCCAACCCCAACCGCTTCCCCGTCCGCCCGCCGCTCCGGGGATGGATGGATTGTCAAATACTTTTTTGGCCGTTGCTGGCATGCCGCACCCTGTCTTGGTACCCCAGCTTGCCCAGTATTCTACTCGTCTCCCCATGTGGTCTTTTTCACACTAAAACATTGTACTAAAACACTGATGTTTCCTTGTCAAAGAGGCTGCTCTTCAGACGCATGGACTCGGGCGAAAGAACGGACGATGACGCACTTGGTTCCCGGGCTTTTCCTCAACGATGGGGACGGAGGGGGAGGGGGAGCTTCTGCTTCGCTGCTTCAACACAGACCATCATGTCCCGAAATAGGTGAGGAACGCAATACTCGCCGCATTGGTAATCAGAGTTGGAGCATGACTCTTGTCATAGCTTCAAGTTCGGGCAGCTCCATGTTCTACTCGTCAAATCGTTGATTCATGTACTACCTCAAGGTAGGCCGGGGTTATATATACAGCCGAACCGGAAAATCCGCCAACCTACTCTCACAGCTACATCCTAGCTCGCGTTTCCCCTGCTCCCTTCCCCCCCCCCCCCCTCCAGCTCGCAACATTTCTACGCGCTAGGCTCGGCCCACTCGTAAGTGGAAGCTTGCGGGACGCCAAAGTTGGGCGTGCCGTCCGCGTTGGCGGTGATGGGCTGGACCATGACATAGCGGTTGTCGTCGCACGCGCCGTTGGCATTCGCCGTGGCGTGGAAGGTGATGTACGTCTCCGTCTCGTCGGGGCTGCGGAAGAAGCTGTTGTGGCCCGTACCAAAGTTGCCGTTGGCCGCCGTCAGCTGGCACCCGTTGCTCTTTGTCCACGCCGAGGGGGACGACGGGTCGGTGACGCCGTCCCACTCGAGCAGGGCGACGCAGTAGTCGGGCGTCCAGCAGTAGTTGGCCGAGTAGGCGATGTACGTCTTGCCGCCAAAGTAGAGGCCGTAGAAGCCTTCCTGGACGGGGACCTCGCTCTGCTCCCAGGGCTGGTCGGGCTGGGAGATGATGGTGATGTTGGGCGAGGCGGAGATGTAGTCGTCGTTGAGCTTGCGGACGCAGGCGGACTGGTGCGAGACGCCAGTCATGCAGGAGTAGACAAAGTAGTTGCCCCAGTCGTTGAAGCGGACGACGGTGCCATCGAGGGACCAGTCGTCGGTGACGCGGCCGGCGTAGGACCAGTCGTCCCAGGGAGAGGCGCCGCCTGGAATTCAGTGTAAGCATACGTTCTTTTCATTGACTTCATGGCATCATAACTTACCCTGCAAGACATGCATCCTCTGGCCGTCCAAGTTACCGTCGTTGCCGGCGGTGTAGTAGAGGTACCATCTACCGTCAAAGTAGTGGATCTCGGGAGCCCAGACGCTGCAGCATCGCGTCGGGTTCGAGTCGGAGTAGATGACCTTGGGCGTGGCCGTCTTCAAGCCTTCAATGGTGGTGGCACGCGCGAGCTGGAGGTTGGTCCACTCGGTCGAGATGAAGTAGTAGTACCCATCAAACCACGAGATCTGAGGATCACCGCCGCCGGGGTTGCGGATGGGGTTGGTATAGGCGGCAGCCGAGCCAAAGAGGCTGAAGAGCCCCAGTGAGGCAGAGACGATCTTGGAGAAGAACATGGTGTGTTCCGGGACGGTGGACTTGACTGCAAGATCGTGCCTTGCTTCAGGATGCTACATGATGCCTTCCGACGGGAGAGCTTCACGCATCTTTATAGATCCTCAAGTCGTGACATCGGCGGACACGAGGTCGCAACGAGACTGCCGACATCATCAGTTTCCCGAGCGTTCCTGGGGTAGATCCACGCGGGAAGGTATTTCGGTGGCAAGGTTGCGGTCCCCGGTGGATGCTGTCAAGACAAGATGCTCAATCGTAACTGGAGCGCTTTCTTCCACATGTCGAAAGTTGCTCGAGTCAAGACGAACTGCCAGGGACGATCCGGCAGCAAACCCAAAGCAAACCCCATCAATCATTCCATCTCGGTGCTCGGTTCGGGAAAGACAACGCTCAAGATGCGGAGAGGCCAAGACCTGCTAACGGGCGAGGGCACCCGATGTCGACGTCGACTACCGGTACCTTGCTTGAGAGAGGTTACACCGGATTGGCGCGCGAGAAAATGAGTGCGACGGGCGGCGGAGATGGCGGGGTAATAAACGAGAGAGCTCGCACTAACTTCTAAACAGACGAGCCAAGACTTTTCTCCCTCCCTCTCCCCAGACTCTCTCCAGTTTCTCTCACTTGAGCTACGTTGTCCGGGGCTTGGAGTTACCGTTGTCACCTTAATCTGTGGGGTTCGTCCGGTCATTGTCACCGAGGAGGCCCGCGAGAAGCCCCGGCATCTCCCACATTGTCGTTGTTTACCCCGTATTCGCCCAATCTGTCTCCCATGTCGATGAAGCTCGAGGCTCGCGCCGAATCCACTTCCAAGTTTCTCCGTGGGCGCGTGATAGCCCTGCCCCGCGTATTTGTGAGTCTCGTCACCCAGTCTCTCAAAGCAGTGCACATGCATGAAGGTTCCATCGCGAATTCTTTTCCCAAACATGCTTCTACTAAGCGCTCATTGACGTCACAACCCAGCTCAAAGTCTTTGCCATGGCCCTAGCCGCGCCCATTTGTCTCCTGCTGTGGTGCGCTTATAGATCCATAACTTAATCTAAATTCAATTGAAAGGAACATGTGCTTTTTACGAAAGCCATCACAAGGATAAACGGAACTAATTGCAGTCCACTATGCTTGGCACCGTGACGATCCTCAGCGTTGCGACAACTCTTGCGTAGCCTCTAGGCTGCCGCGAGGCAGATACGCAGCACACAGTAGCTTAATTAACCGTCCAATTGAACGACTGGGTAGATTGGTCGCCACGAGGTATGAGTAGAGGCACTCCAGAGCCCCGTCAAACTCTTCTGACTCTAAACGATCGATCCCTGATGTGATTATTTAACTGTTTGAGGTCTTGCTATGACGTTGACGACGAAAGCAATTGATCACAGCGACAACATGTATAATCGACTGCAATGGTCAGGTGAAGCCTGGATGGCCATATGAAGGGGGCGAGTAGTTCACCTCTTCAGCCGTCGACGCTCAGTACCTTAATCTCTCTTCCTCAGTAAATGCAATCGGGCAGAAGGAGTAGCCCTTGATAACTGATTGACTTGTTTAACTACGCTCTTCCTGGTAGCTAAGGTTTTCTTTTGGAGTTTCAAGTGCACTAAAGGCGAAGCTGTTCTGGTTCAGCGAGTTACAACCGTGTCAAGGCACAACGTCTGGATACTGGCGAGCTCACCAGCCTCCGAGATGGCCCAAATCATAGGGTTCGCCCTTGTCCGCTATGAGCCCCGTCACACAGACAGAATACCATAGATAGTATTGAGATAATGTACTATTTAGCAGCATTTGAGATCTGATGTTTGCTGAGAAATCAAGCTAAAGGGTGATATGACAATGCCACTGTTTACGATGGTCAAGCTTACTCACAACGTAAGGTCTCGTCGCGATTGGTAGACTTGGGCCGACTTCCCGCAGGGAGTGTCTCATTCGTAGGGCTATGTTATCTCGAGCTGTTTACACCAGTCATATGCATAATTTTAGTTCAAAGCACACCCTCGGCCTGAGGTAAGGTAGGTAGCAGAAAGTAGGCAGTGGGATTCGAGGTTGGGAGAAGAGAACGCTTGAATCGACGATGAATGGCAACGGCACGAATACAGAGAGCCAGGTATTAAAATTTCTCGGAAATATCATGGTTGAAAGTCACCAAGGCGCGTTGATTGCGAGCCGAAAACTTGAGTATTAGACAAGCCTCATGGTGAGGCAGTGTCGTTTGACTGAGACACAGCCTCACACGAATCCATATAATTGGCAGCAAAACCATACTGCACAAAAGCTTTAGAAGGAGTGCATTCGCCCAGGTAAGTTGACAGCCGACGACAGTATTATCAGTATTACTTTTCCGTTTTGCTTTACCTAAGACTCCAGCGCATCGGCTAAGGCAAATCACACAGGGCATCACATCC